TTGCCACCACACACGCTTGACACCATCCAAACTAAATAAGTTTATCTTGGTCTACACACAGGACCAAAGCCAACCTCTGAATATGACACTGAGCACGGGCACTCAACTTCTTTGGTCAAGCATGACAAGGCCTGTTCTGAGTGGAACCTGTCCTGTTAAACTGCTGCAGCTCAGTTTCAGGGTTTTGGCAATCTTCTTATAGCCTAGGCTATCTTTATGTAGAGAAACAATTTGGTTTTTTTCAGATCCACAGGTAATTCATTACCATGAGGTGCCATGTGGAATTTCCAACGACCAGTCTGAGAGAGTAAGAGCGATAACACCTGCTCCCCCTTCACATCTGAGACTTGTTACACTAACGGGTCTCATGACTCTAGGGAGGGAAAACCGGCTACTTGGGCCCAATTTGGACATTGTCACTTAGGGGTGTACTCACTTTTGTTACCAGCAGTTTACGTTATTTTGAGGGGACAGCACATTTACACTGCTATACAAGCTGTATATTCACTGCTTTACATTGTAGCCAAGAGTCATTTCTTCAGTGTTGTCACTTGAAAAGATATACTAAAATATTTATCAAATGGAAAGGGGTGTACTCACTTCTGTGATATACTGTATGTCTCAGTCACATGCCTGGTTATGTGCCCAACTGCACAACCAATGCACCCTATCAATCAGCATCAATTAGCCACAGCAAATTATGCAAAAGTTATATGAGCACCAACCAGATGCTGGCTATGAAGAATAAATCTCTCTTTGTAATCAAGTTTTAAAAATATATTTCACACATCGTTCTGCATGCTATTCTTGGCAACAAAAGTAAAATTATGAAGGACAGATGAGATCAGATAACCCTTGTAGAAGGATGCATTTATGAAGTGATTTTTTTAATGATTCAGGACATTTTCAAGGATTTTTTTAGTACACCAAACAAGAGTGATTAAGAACTGACTTTCAGACAAATTTGAATGGTCAAACAATGTTGCCCTCAACATAGGCAGAAAAAGCAATTAAAATTTCCAAAGATTTCAGCAAACTTGTTTGCAATGGCTACAAAAAAAACCCACACACATTTAAAAAGTCAATTATTAGTAGTAATACTGTAAGAGCTCCTTTAGTGAGCTCAAAAGACCCTGAGCTCTCTAGGGACGCAGTGTCCATATTCACCAACTGCCGGAACTTGTTTCATTATTACAAGACCTTATTCCTTGCAGATGGTTTACTGAATGCTGAAGTACGGTACATTCTCAACTGTGTCAACTAAATGCAAACCATTGTTGTTGAGCTTTCACTTATTACGCAAACAACCATTTCTATGGAGAAACACAGGCCTTTCTTATCTCATAAGCACAATATTGACTTTTACAACAATCATGTTTAAAAATAGCACTTCAGGAAAAAGTCACATAGTTTTCACTCACTACACACGTACTTCACTATTCCACAGGACTAACCTGTCATGTTTTGCTCCTTCCGTCATCTCTGGGCCCCACACACCTCCATCCCCCCCCCATAAAATGTAATCGGAAAACAATACTATGGTACAGTCAGCAGATATGGGGAAGAGGTTTAGTTTTAAAAGCCTTTTTAAAAGAAAATATATTGGGAATTGACAGAGTACACAAGCAGGTTGCCCACCTCTGCTTTAAACTCTATGCACAATTGCAACATGGAGCAGTTTTAAATATTCAATGAACCATTTGAACTCTTCTTCAATGAAGGAGAGGAAAAGGCGATCAATATTCTTGAAAGGCATGAGCTGCCTTCTTCCAGGCACTAAACTGAGCTATTCCAGCACCTTTTAGAGCAGTGGTTCCCAACTTTGGGCAACCCAGCTGTTCTTGGACTGCAACTCCCAGAAACCCTGGGTTGCACAGCTAGGGGCGAAGGCTTCTGGGAGTTGCAGTCCAAGAATATCTGGATTAACCCACTTTGGAAACCATGGTCTTAGATCTCAACAGTTACTTTTTTATTTTAAAAAAAGATAGCCATTGTTTTCTTCTGATAATTATTTTAATATTTCTAAGGAAGACCTCTGATCCAATGTGTTGCACATTCTCCCCAAAATAAAACTACTTTTTTCTATTGCCATCTTAATCCTTGTTTGCTCCTTGGTCTTCCATTTTTTGAGGTGCTGCTCTGTCACTCCTGTTCTGCTTTAAGACAACCTTTTCTACAATATATATTTGCAGGGAGATCCCAGCTGTGACTTCCCATTTCTTCCTTTCCTTGCCCTGAAAGCCCTCCTCCCTGATCATGAGGGAAAGCCTTCTTAAATTCTACATCCTGTTTGCACATCTACCAGGTGCCTGAAATTCCAACATGACCCATCACTCACCCTATGAATTTTATATTAAGAACACCACACCAAACATTACCGAAAGCAAAGCAATAGCACTTAAAATCTGTTTGACTGCTATTATGTCCATTGTCATCTGCAAATCAATATGGAAAACATATACCAAATATCAAGGAAACACAGAGGTGGGAAAGACTGCAAATACAGAACCAGGTACCAATTCCACCCATACTACATCTGAATTGTTCAAATCCCCAATGCCAAGCCAATAGTGATGCTGTGAAATAATTCTAACTTAATATTAGAGAAACATATAACTCACTGACTTTCAAGATTAATGAAACAGTAAATGCATGTTTAGTGAGATCTACAACAAAATGTTGCAGTGTAGCAGAGTACTCTTGTTTAAAGTTCGAGCCACCTAGCCTGTCAGTTCTCCAGAATGCTCCATTTTTTTCTCCCTCCTTCCTTATTTTCCATTCCTCCCCTCAAAAGTTGGTCAGCAGTCTGTGACCATGGACCTTACCTGGCCCTTGCTAGATTGTCTTTGTGCCCCACCCTCCTGCTCCTCCTCTTCCCACCCCCTTTTCCTCCAGTAAAACCTGATGTTTCGTTGAGCCTGCTGAGATTTATCTCTTATGCATGAATGATGTCATTTTAGCAACGTTAAGTATCTATACTCAGAGAATGAGATCATCATTACTATGCAGAATTCCAGGCTGTTGCTGGATTATTATTTCGAATGCCTGCAGTAACAGGCCAATATAATGTCCTCCAAAAACCTACTTTGTTAGTAACGCTTTTTCTTCCTTAGAAATATTAAGTAAACTATACTATGCTAATGTTCTTATGCAGACTGCCTAGAACAAAGTAAAAGATAAACTATACACTGCATCTGAGGAATACAAAGAAACAAGATATATTCAGCAGACGCTGCTGTACAATTTCACACATAGAACCCCTGCGTTGTTTCAACTTTCACTACAATAAAACAAAACAAACTTTACAAATAAATGCTGTGGACACATGTGAACTCATGAATCTTCTGGACATGCTAATACTGCCAAGTTATATCTCGAGTGGGTAACATATTTTATGCTACTAGAAGCTAGCACACAAAACTAAAATGCTTTGTACACATTTGTGCAAGCTTCAAATCTGACAGAGAAACTCAGGCTTACATTATCTGGGTAAAATTAATTTGAGTTCACACTTGTGGCTGAAAAGATGGGGGAAAAACCTGAAAACTGGCCTACCAAATGAGACGAATTAAGTAGCATGCACACATGTACAATATTCAAACCACACACTGTCATCTTCAGTTATATAACTCCTTAACGTGGCGTGGTGGCTAGCATGCTGGACCAGAACCTCCAGGAAACATACTGGATAGTCCTTGGGCTGGTCACTGTCTTATCTTCAAAAAGATAACCACAGACCTGTAACGAACTTAATTATGTAACACAAATTAAGAGTTACTTTAAACCTTTTTATGATACTAATTTATACTTGAAAACATAAAAAAGTAAAGAGTTGGGAGTCTTTGGCTGCCAGTCAAGAATGGAGGGATGTGGGAGGTATTCTGGATGATGGCTAGAGTCAAAACCCATCATCTTCCCATCCCCATCCAAAACTAAAAGCAAAAGAAACCTTTGAAGAATTTGTCTTTAAGATCAGTTTTTCATTGGGGCTTGTAATGGTTATTTCTCATATACATTTTTTGCAACACTGCCATGGCTTATATTACAACATTTCTCTGGTTGTGATTACTCTAATTTTATTCCCGCTCCCGTGTACTTCAAACATCTTCTTGTGCTAAGTACAGTACTTAACATATTAAGAATTAACTATTGTCATTTTCCCTAGAGTTACACTATAAAATGAAAAGGATACTGGGGAAAGCGAATAGCAGAATAACATGTATCGAAAACACATCTGACAACAAACAGAATAACATGTATCAAAGATACATCTGAAAACCACTATTGATTGGGAAGGCATTAGCTTACCATGAATTCGATAGTTCATGGACTGCGGGAAAGTACCTAGCCCCTCTTTGTGGGGGAGGGGGCTGTTCCATCGCTCTGCTCCTGAGATGTCACAGCTCAGAATGCAAGATAATCTGTACGGCCTCAACAATGGTGGTTTCCAAGTGGAAAACACTGCATTTAACATTTTTCTTAAAAGAAAAAAAAATCCATGTTACAAAGTTACATTTCCCTACAGATTTACACACAGTCTTAAAGTGCCAGCTTTGTGATCTTCTTCCTAGTCAGAATGAAAATAAACAGAGCACCCAGTGCTATTTAATATTGTACTTAAAAGGTATGGAATGGGGTGGGCAGCCTCACCCTCATCTAATTTCCCTCCTCAGACTAATGTGATCAGTTCAGGCCTCTGCAAAGGCAATCTGTTCCTTCTCCTTCCCAAACACAAACATGAGAGAGGGAGAAACCGAGAGAGGGGCTTAATGCTAACTCTCTAAATAACTTTGAAACAGCAAGACGCTGTCTGTTTTTCAAGCATCACCAAAGCCATGTGTGACCTCAAACAGGAGCTGTCCACCCATCTCTGTCGGCAGATGAAACATGCACATTTGTGGAACTTTTGAGTGCTAAAAAAGGCAGAAAACAGAGTGTCTTTGCACCTTACCATAAAATTACAGAATGGAAAATTTGTATCACCAAAATAGTTTTGAGACCTCAATATCTGAAGGAGCACCTCTTCCTATAGACATCTGCTTGATCATTATGAACGGGGAAGGTAGTTGCCAGTGTGTTCTGCCATTCAGAACAGTGTATTATATGAAACTGTGAGAGGGATCTTTGTCAGCTTTACCACACCATTTCTGGAATCCCCTCTACTCAGAAGGCTGCCTGGCACTGAGATTTAATTTAAATTTGCCCCAAGTTATAATCCAGCTACCTAAACACCCGAGTCTCAGTAAGATTATGGCTTAGTTTAACATGATTACATTGACTGTACCCCTCCTTGAAATCTGACAAAACAATATTTTACTTTAACAAATATATAAATAGAACAAATATACGTATAGTGTCATAATAGAGCTGAGTACAGCATTCTATCCAGAATACATGCAGTGGAATGTTACACACATGCATTGTTATTGCTATGGTCAAAGATCAGAGTGGAATGTTGAGATATAGGAATTCCATTGCTTTTGTTTGCAATTGGTGTGTTTAGTACCCAGTAAGGGTATTCAGAATAAAAACTTCACATACGCAAACACACACATGCATAGAAATCAGTGTCTTAGATCTGTGCTTCTAATTTGGCAAAAATGTGGAAAATCAACCCATACATACCCAACAGCACACTAGAAGCCACAGATCAAAATTTTCAGCCAATGGCCAATATACTCTTGCATATGTAGCAGAAGAAAGGATGGTGGTAGCAACAGATTGATGCTTATCAAACAGTTTCTTTTTTCAAGCACACACTTCCCTTCCAGGCTTATGCCACTGATTCAGTAAACTGATGTGATCTGCAGTACAAAGCACCTTGCTGGTATTAGATCTAACTGATAAAAAAGAGCCTTATAAAGAATTCCTTTGACCTGCATCACATGCACACATGCATTCAGGGTAGCTGTAATCTGGGAGCATGGACAAGATGTTGCCAGCAGAGAATTCCGCATACCTCATCAAATGAGAAACTACAGAACTCCTTAGCATGGAGCCATCATGACAATTAATATGGCAATAACTGATTTAGACATCAAGATACACTTATTGCCTCCCATTCATCTTGTAGGATGAGGAAAAACCTGCACTCACTATTCTACTCAATGGTTTTGCAACAATTGAACCAGCTACTGCCTTTCACTGTGCTTTATCAGTAAGTGAACTCACTAACTGTTACAACTTACATACTTCTGGACCTCAAGAGATTTTAAATAGAGCTGACCGACTGACCTCTGTGCTGTGTGTGCATATATACAATGTGTAGTCACTGAGGTGACTTCTTTCAGTTTCCAAATTGCACCCAAACCCACAATCTGCCTACCTGTAGGCTTTCCCCTCCCCCCCCACGGGCTTTTGAATTATTGACCTGTACCACTGGTTTTTCTGGCTTTGCTTCTTTGAATAAGGAAGGAAGGAAGGAAGGAAGGAAGGAAGGAAGGCAGGAAGGCAGGAAGGCAGGCAGGCAGGCAGGCAGGCAGGCAGGCAGGCAGGCAGGCTGCACCAGTGCCTCCTAGGAATCATAGTCTCATTGCCCATAAGCCTCTGGAGAGGTTGCCTCCCATAGAAAACACCAGGGCAGCTTTCTTTTTTCCATTTTAAAAAGAAATCAACAACAGGAAGCAAGGTAAATAACTCAAAAGTCCTTCTCTACAATCTGTACAGATTCAGGTTTTTAGAGTGCAGTTCCCAGAATTCCAGGATGAAGAGAAACACAAATCTCAAAGAAAGAAAAACTGAAACGGAGAACAAAATAGAAGATACAGGCTGAGGTTGAGATTCAGTGGTTTTAAGCCCAGAGGAATCAGTTGTGTTTGTTGGTACATCACACGATACAAATGTGGCTTTCGTTTATGGTAGATTTGTACCACAGCCTAGAGAACCTTCCTCATTAACAATCTAGCTTTGAGAATAAAGCTGGCAGGAGTATCAGTTATGCATATCAGTTATTCTGATTCCTCAAAACAGATTAAAAGAAATTTACACATTTTCCTGTACTTATCCATCCCCCACATCAGCCTCTGGAAGGACTTCAGCCATAGTCAAACAGGAGCAATTATGTTTCAACCACAATTTGAAAAAAAAATCAATGAAAAGAAATTTCCATTTGATTAAGGGACAATCCTAACTGGATTGTACTCCAAAAAGACAGGAAGGCAACAAGCAGGAAAGGCTGCTAAGATATCAGAATAGGCAATGGATAGCTATTATAGCCGCCTAGAGTGGTCGAAATGACTAGATAGGCGGGGTATAAATACAATCAATCAATAAATAAATACCTATCAGATTCCTTCCCCTCTAATCACAGTGTGCTGCTTCACTTACCTGCAGTATCACTTCTCTCATGTCATACTTCTCCTCAGTTGGTTGGGGAGCCAATGATGTGACATGATACTGTCATCACAGGTTAATGAAACTCAGAACTGGCCCTATCATTACACAGAGTGAAGTAGTGATCTGAAGTGACCGAAATGGGTGTCATGAAATTGCTGCAAACTGATTATCATTTGATTTCACAGTACTGTATTATATATTTCTGCCTGCTGTGGGAAGAGATGCTTTGGGGATTTTCTGCCCCAGATGTCAAGGTAAATGGGATGTGTGGAAGATGGAATCTATTGCTCCCCCACAGACAGAAAAACCTCATTGGGCCAACTCTCGTAAAACAACATGCTACAGTGGGAGACAACTTGACATACAGAATATCTTCTTGAAGCTACAATGTATAACTTACCTCTGGGGAAAATTCTAATGGCATCTGAAAACTGATAATATGAATTTAAAATCAGAACCTTCCCATAAAAATATTTTGATAATTTATAAACAAGGAAATTATCTCCGACTGTTCCCATATTGTTATTAATCCCACTGACAACTACTGCAGTAGCATATGCCAAAGGATGTTGGCAGACTGTTGCTAAGTTTTCCCAAACGAGTGTACTATTTATGAATTTCAAAGCATATGCTAGGCAGATGTGCCCCACCTACAATTAGCTGCCCAGCACTGCATCTGAACCAGGAGGCACAAATGCTTGCTTGACACAAAACATGCCCAGAGAAGAGATATGAGGACGTGTTATTCCATGCTGAGCAGCTCCATGTGCTGTACAAGGAAATTCAATATGAATTTCCTGGAAAACACAGTAAAGAGAAAGGAATCCAGACTTGAGCATTTCTGAGCCAAAATGCTCAACAAACTTGGGAGTATCAAAGCAAATGTAACAACTGTCACTTAGCTGCAACGTTCCCCCACGTAGGACAGACCACTGATAAACTTATAAATGTGCTTATCACAAAGGCACGTTTGGGACTGACTTCAGAAAACTGAGACAGAAAGCTCAAAGCAAAAAAGATACAGAAAGTGCAGAGAACTGATACAGCCTTCTGTGTATATCCTCTCCAAACATGGATACATACACTGCCCAAACTAGGAATTCTGTTACACTTCAGGGAGAGGCAGACAGCTACGGCCCTCCAGTTACTAGATTGTAGCCATGATCAGCTTCAACCAACACCACCACTGCTGAGGGATGCCAGAGGCAGAAGTGCAATAATATCTGGGGAGGTATAGTGGTCCACCCAGGAGATAAGCCAACGGGAGCTTCCAATCAAAATATATAGGGCTGTGATAGCGAACCTATGCCATGTGTGCCACAGCTGGCACACAGAGCCCTTTCTGCCAGCACGTGAGCAATAAGATGCTTGCGAGATCGCTACTCCCCCCCCACACACACAGCCAAACCTGAGAAGGCGGCTGCAGCCGCGGTGCTGGCGCTTCTGCGGGCGGATCCAGAGCAGCTGGTGCTGGCAGCGAATCCAGAGTGAGGTCCTGAGGCATCTCCATGCCAGGATTCTCCCTTCCGCTGTGACTTCCGGTTCCGCCGCTGCCACCATCACCACCACTGCAGCACACTGCCTGCTGTTTTTTGTTCGCTTGTTTGTTTTTCCCAGTTTGGGCACACAAGCCCTAACAGGTTTGCCACCATTGATCTAGGGGCGTGTTCTTGTCAGAACTGTGCCCCTTCCACTCTCACTGTTATCAGAAGAAAATTAAGCATCTTCTTCACTTTTAGCTTCACTTTAAAGCTATGTTGTTCAAGAGAAAACCCAGTTCATATCTGATACTGATACATCAAAATCTAAAATATTGTTCTGGTCTTAACTTAAAGTCAGAGGAATTCCAACCTGCCCCTACTTGACCAAGAATGAAGATTATCACATAAACTACACCTGTTACATATCAGATGGAAGTAAAGCAGAGGAAGCAGATGCTTTATCTCTTTCCTAAGGACAAGCTGCTTTATTTTAACTGGGATTTAGTGGCAGTTTGTTTGAAAAATCCTGCCGCGCCGCCCAGTGCTGATTCCCACTGTGGAACATTCAGAGAACACACGTAACACAGTTTCCATCCCTGTAGGCTGCCGAAGATTTACTACTGTGATGTAAAGCTGGGAAACAATCGCTGCAGTAGTTCCAAAGAGGAATGCAAACAGGCATGCAGGCCAGTGACAATTCCATTCCATGTCTGTCCTGGCCTGTACCAAACAGTACACCATGCAGACAGCTGTGATTGCAAAATCGGGGCATGTGGTGGGAATGGGTGGGTAGCAGTAGTTTCAAAACATCTTCAGAACCTAGGAGCCAGATGTGACCCTCCTAAAGCCATCTAGTAAAGGTCCCCAGACAGATGTTTGGCTATTGGCTGCCTGGATTCACGAACCGTTCCACATATTATCAATTGTACTGCTATCCCAGACTCATTCATTTTCCAATACAGACAGATGTTTGTCTATTGGCTGCCTGGATTCACAAATAGTTCCACAACTGTATTGCTATCCCAGACTCATTCATTTTCCAATAAGCTCACTGTGGCTTATACTCAATTCCCAAATGATACCAGATGCAGACAACCTATTGAGCCAGACCTGAGCGTCAGCCACAAACTGTCTCAGGTGTCCGGATAGGGAGCCTGGAGACTTCTCCACCTAGAAGCTGCATGGCTAGATTGTATCCGACACTAATCCTGTTTATACTGGCAAGGAACAATGCCATATTTGACATTTACGGTATATATGTCAAGCCACAACAAGCTCAGAGAGCTGCATTTATGGACGCACCTTGATGCAATGTACATATTCATTCTGAATTTGGATGCAATAG